CTGGGAGCATCCCCCGCCCCCAGCAGTTTGGAGAAGGCCTGCCACCCGCCATGGCTTTGCCCCGTGTGATGCAGGACACCCACTTCTGTGCGAATTTCAGATTGTTAGTGTTTCAGTGCGAGTACCCTGCTGGCTCCGCAGGTGAAGAATTCGCCTGCAATGCAGGAGACGAAGGAGACGTGGGTTCGATCCTGGGTCAGGAAGAACCCACTCCAGTCTTCTTGGCTGAAAAATCCCATGGACCGAGGAGCCTGGCAGGCTACAGTCCAGTGGGTTACAAAGAGTCAGACATGACTAAGCACCTTGCACCCCATGTCCTGCCCAGTGTTTAGGAAGTACTTAGGATAAAATGTCTCCGTCTCCCCAGGTACCCTCCTGTCACGCGCAGCCCCAACCACAGTTAATGATTAAGTGTTTCTGCAGGTGTTTGCTTTTCCCCTGGATCAGCTGATGGAGTTATACACGCTCCTTTTCAAGGTCAGGATCAGCCTGCTGGGGCTTTTGGCCTGAGCTCCCAGGACGTCCTGGGAAGAAGTGGGCACAGGTCTGCCTTTTCCCCTCAGACCCGTCCAGTGGGTCTCGGTGGCAGACACGTCCATGCCTGACCATCGTCTCTAAGCTGATGTGGTAGCAACGGTGGCTCCTTCTGGCCAGATGAGGACCCCCACCTCCAGCTTTGGTCTTGTGGAAGGACGCCCCTGGGCTCAGGTACACTTTACTGTTCAGACTGTGTGTCCACAACCGGTCACCGGCCTGGGCGCCGCGGCTGCAGAGTCACCCTGGAGAAACACGGTGTTGCCGGCGTTTGTACATTCCCAGTGTTTGCCCATCGTCTGGCCTGACTCACAACCACCTCTGGATCTGGACCCGCGGGCTGTTCCCACACCCTGGGCAGCAGCAGCTGACCGTTAGTCGCTCGGTCGTGTCTGACTCTGCAACCCTTGGACTGTAGCCTGCCAGGCTCCTCTGTCCGTGGAATTCTCCAGGCAAGGACACTGGAATGGGTTTGCCTTTTCCTTCTCCTGGAGTTTGCTCAGATTCGTATCCATTGAGTCAGTGATGCCATCTGACCATCTCACCATCCACCGCCCCTTCTCCTTTTACCTCAGTCTCTCCCAGCTTCAGAGTCTCCGGGCATCTAAAGGTCACATCCAGCAGGGGGACTTCCCTGGTGGTCCAGTGGCTAACGTGGCCCCAATATAGGGGGCCGGCGTTCCATCCTTGGTCAGGGAACTAGATCTCAAATGCCGCAACTAGCATCTGGTGCAGGCAGATAAATATAAAAAAGTAAAGACAGTGTCCATATTGGGGCCTCACCTAGACCAGTTGAATCGGACCTCCTGGCACCATTGTTTTTTAGAAAAAGATGTCAGGTGGCTTCCTTGTGCAGCCAGGACAAAGAAATACTGTTCTATAGGATTGCTGTTCATTTGACAAGTTGTGTCCGACTCTTTGTGACCCCGTGGACTGCAGCACACCAGGCTTCCCTGTCCCTCACCATCTCTTGGAGTGTGCCAGGTTCATGCCCATTGAATCGGTGATGCCATCCAACCATCTCATCTCTGCCGCCCTCTTCTGCTTCTGCCTTCAATCTTTCCAGCATCGGGGTGTTTTCCAGTGAGTCGGCTCTTCACATCAGGTGGCCAAAGGATTGGAGCCTCAGCATCAGTCCTTCCAATGAGTATTCAGAGTTAGTTTCCTTTAAGATTGACTGGTTTGATCTCCTTGCTGTCCAAGGGACTCTCAAGAGTCTTTTCTAGCACCACAGTTCAAAAGCATCACTTCTTGGACGCTCAGCCTTCTTTATGGTCCGACTCTAATCCACGGCAGTGAAAGTGCAGAGTGCTAACCACTGGACCACCATGGAGTTGACCTTTTCTGGAGGATATTAAAACCTGGAAACCTTGTTGGAAATGATTTTGTATATAATATTTATGCAACTATATAATGGTACTTCCCTAGGGGCTCAGACGGTAAGAATCTGCTTGCAACATAGGAGACCCAGGTTCGATCCTTGGGTTGGGAAGATCCCCAGAAGGAGGAAATGGCAACCCACTCCAGTATTCTTGCCTGAGAAATCCCATGGACAGAGGAGCCTGATGGGCTACAGTCCATGGGGTCACAAAGATTCAGACACAACTGAGCAACTAAGAGCACACACAATGATGTACATAATTTATATTTGTATTATATTATGATAATTGTGTGTATATAATCATAATATATTACAATAACATAGTTATTTCCATATTACAATTATAATTGTAACTGTGTTCTACTTTATATAGTATATATGTGACATATAATTACGCCAGGCACTTATTTTTTTCATGTGTAAGTGGTGAATGAGCGAAGGCAGGAGTGAACGTGTTGGTGGAAGTTGGCAGCCAGACTGGCTGGGACCTTCCTAAGGTCGAACCCGGGGTGGCCAGACCCTGTCCTCAGCCCCCCCCCCCCCCACTCTCCAGTTTGTGCTCTTGTCCGGTTGGAAAAATATGAAGCTCAAATGACAGACGCGTTTATCAGTGAATTCAGGAGTGCCCGGGTGCTCTGAAGTTTTAGTGGAGGATGGGATGTACTTTGGAAATTTTAGGCTTCCCTGGTTTCTCCAATGCAGGAGACCTGGGTTTGACCCTGGGTCGGGAAGATCCTCTGGAGAAGGGAATGGCAACCCACTCCAGTGTTCTTGCCTGGAGAATCCCCTGGACAGAGGAGCCTGTGGGGTCAGACATGACTGTGTGACTAGCTTGGTAACTTTCCTTTAAGAAACGAGACCCTTCCTGGGTGATCTGGGTAATCTGCTGGCTGAGATGTTTGACCAGGGACCCTCTCGGGAGGTGTGAAGGCAGAAGACCGAGGACGAGGCCAGGCTGGGGTGTTGGGTGGATCCGTTCGCAGCTGCTCAGACTTGAGGCCCACGGGCCAGGGAGAGAGCTCGGCGGGCGGAAGCTCTGACCGTGCGAGTCTCTCGGTTCTGGGAGGACCTGGGGAGGAGGGCAAGGCTGGCCAGGGAGTCGCAGCAGCTTGCTCCAGCCCCGGGTGCTGCATGGCCGACCTCAACCAGGCCAGATTTTGCTGGTGGTCAGGATGAGCCAGATATCAGGGTTTTTCCTGAGAAACCTCCGGGTTAGGACTCATTCAGCTCCTCTGCAGGTTGGGCAGAGCCGCATTTATGGACCCCGTGTGCGAGGACAGTCCAGGTGCTCTTGGCAGTAGGGGAGCCCCCGACCCAGTTGTGGTCTTGCCTTTCCCTGGGTGTGGGGGGTGCATTTTCTGCGGTGGCGTCTGCACTTTGCTAGGCTTTGAGTGTCTGATCAGGGGCTAGGAATGTCCTGGGACCTGGTGGCCCAGCAGAGAAGCATGTCCATGGGTGTCCGCCGACCTTAAATGAACTCTGGAGGTAAATGGTGGGTGTCAGCCTTCTCAAACTGGACGCCGAGTTGGCACTGGCTGAGCTGTGTCCTGCCTGGGACTTTTCTGAGGCTCGTCACCCCAAAATGAATGGCTTCCAGGTCCATGCTCCCCAGCCCCTGGGGTAGTCGGCCAGGTGACCATCTTCCTCCCTTCCCCTCCCCCTTGCTTCCTCCCCCCCCCCCCCTTCTACTGTGAAATATTTCACGCACAAAGAGATGCCCAGAGAAGAGCGTTGCAAGCCTCTGTGTCCCAGGTTTGTTGAAGTCTGGCAATTCTGTCTCATCACCTGGGAACTGTTTCGAGGAAACCAAAGTTAAAAGTAACGTCACAGGCGCTGTGACCCCCTTTCTGCCCCCCCGCCCCCCACTTTGGCGTTCCTGTCGCTGTGGGTGCCTCTGCCCCATCAGTCACGTCGTGTGCACTTCAGGCTCCAGGCGAGCCTGCATCCTTCCAGCCTTTGTGAGCAAGGACGCCGTGTCTGAACGGTCCTTTCTCAGGGCTCCCTTTGGGGCCCTGCGGGGGTCGTTGGGGTCCACGGTGCTCTCAGCTGTGCCGTCCGTGGGAAGTAGAGACCACACCCTGGTCAGGCAGATCCTGAATGGTTAGGGTGGTGTGTGAGCTGGGTTAACCAGGGCAGCCGTTTTGCAGGGAACAGCCTGGGACATCTTTCTTGTTCACATGAACTTGACCTTTGACATCCTTTACAGAGTTCACACAGAAGTGCAATTGCTGGTTTGGCATGCACCCCCCTGCCCCAGGACCCCTGGTCATCTCAGGTTTTAGCCTGACCTTTCTGACCGCTGCCTACAGAGCTGGGGGTGTCCCTGGGCAGGTTTTAGCCTGACCTTTCTGACCCCTGCCCACAGACCTGGGGGTGTCCCGTGGGCAGCCTGCCCTCCCAGTTCTGTCCTGCTAACGCCCGTGGAACGAGGCGGCAGTCGGCCCCCTCACCTGGGTCCTTGCCGGGGGGGTTTTATTGCACTTGATGGTGAGGAAGCTGCCCTCCCAACCTCCGTGGGCTCTTGGGGACCCCCAGCCCTCCCCCATCAGCCTGCCCCCATCAGTCTTTGGGTTCCGCTGTGCTCCTGGGCCTGGAGATTCTCTCATTTCTGAGCCTGGCCCTGCCTGCTGGGTCTATTTTTACACAGTACCTATCATTGCTGTGTTTGAAGCAGAGGGGGTTATTATAGCAGGCGCTCGGTACCCTTCTGACCCAAAGCCCGCATCTCTCTGCCTGCTGCTCCTCCAAGAAAAACAGAGAGCTGTTCCTCTTACTCCCGAACGTTTCAGACCGCCCCGCCGCCCCCTTGGTCCGTCCCCGTAAGCTGTGGCCGGGCTCCTGTTAAGCGCTGGTTTCCAAGCCCCCGGGCAGGGCTCTCGGGGCCCCCACAGGTCCTGCCTGGCTCGGGCTCCGGGAGGAGCTGGGGTGTGTGGAGGTGTGTGTGTGTGTGTGTGTCACCCACGCAGGTCGCCCAGCCTGCGATCACGCCCCTGGACGCCGGTCTCCGCCACACCCCCGGCTTCTCTCTTGGACCTCCCCTGATATCTGTCTCCCGCCTCCCTTCCCCGAGCAGACACGCGCAGCCATGCCACGCAGCCCCACGTCCAGCGAGGACGAGATGGCCCGGAGCTACTCAGACTCCTCGGAGGAGTCGGACTCGGACAGCTCCAAGGAGGAGACCATCTATGACACCATCCGGGCCACAGCCCAGAAGCCAGGTGGCGCCAGGGCGGAGGAGGGCCAGGCCCACACGCTGGTGCTGCGCATCGTCATCGAGGATCTGCAGCAAACGGTGAGCCTGCCCGCCGCCCGCCTTCCGGCCCATGGCAGGCGCGACCTGGACTCCAGGGGCCTCTGCTCGCCCCCTGCCCCGCCGGTCCCAGAGGCCCGAGCTGCTCCTGCCCCCTCCCCACGAGCGCCCCGCCCGCCCCCTCCTGCTGGGCCCTCCTCCCCCTCCCTCCCCCCTGCTCACTGCACCTACTGTGTGCAGGGATGGAGCCCAAGCCTCAGCACAGAGACCAGGCCTGCAGCCGCCGCGAGCACAGTGGGTGCCTTAGTAAACGGGCTGCCCGCCCCGGGCAGGCCCTGCTGCGTCCCCTGGCACTGGGGCTCCCGCTTCCTGGAGTCTGCAAGCTCTGCCCGGCATACCCTTCCCCGCCCTGCCCGCCGGCAGCCCCTGAGTCGTCCCTCGAGGTCTGAGCCCCATGCTGTCTGAGGCACACGGGACGGTCCTTCTGTGGTGAATTTGCATGAGGTCCCTGTGGCCACAGCGGGTGCCGGAGAGGGGTCTCCCTGGCTGTGGTACTGTTGTGGGGGCCTTGGAGAACGCAGGAGGGGCTCCCTCTGGGGTGGGCAGGACAGGTGGCAGGGCAGCACGCTGAAGCTGGGTGGGTGGAGCCTGGCAGGGGCGGGGGGCTGCACCAGGCCTGGTGGGGGGAACTTTCAGGCTGGGCGGGGCTGGACCTGAGCCCCCCGTGGAGTCACGTCCAGCGTCTGGCTAGTGGATGCGGCGTCCGGGGCCTCGGGGAGGCTGGGAAGGCTCAGTGAGCCCAGGAGGGGCTTTCCGGAGGCTGGCAGGCGGCACATGGACCCAGTGGGCCCCTCCCAGTGGGATTCTTGTCTCTTGGGATCAGGTGACCGGGGTCTCAGCCCGTGCTGGATGGGCCCCCTGCCGGGGCGTCTCGTTTCTCGTGGCCTCTGCTCCTTAGGTCTCCGTGGGGCTTGTGTGCCCGAGAGGAGCCCTCATGTTAGAGTTTAGAGAGGAGGTGGAGATGTGGGGCTGGCGGGGGTAGACTGGGCTGGGGCAGGTGTAGACGCCTCTGGGAGGCTCCAGCCTGTGTGGCTGAAGGCCCTGGGGGGAAGGGGCCCAGCTGGGATCAGAGGGACTGGGAGGCCCGCAGCGCCACCTCCTGCCGAGTGGCGCCGGTGCGACCCTTGGGGTCTGACCCAAGCCCAGTCTCCTGCGCCTCAGGTCTCCCAGGAAACCCCTGCTCCTGGGGAGGGGCCCTGCGCCCTGGGGTCATCTCAGGGCGAGCTCTCACGACCCCACCTTCCAGGGAGAGCGCGGGAGACCTGAGCCCTAGGACCAGCCTGGCAGCAGGCCAGGCCCAGCGTTCATTCTCCCTTCCGTGTCATCTGACATCTCTCGTGAAAGTTACGTGGTTATTATAAAAGCCTCAGGTCGTATAGAAAAGCGCAGACGGCAACTCCCGGAGCGGTTGTCGCTGACGTTTCACGGACGTTTCAGATGTGTCTCTCCAAAGGGTTGCAGGTAAAGGGTGGCCTGGGTAAGCACAGACTCAGAGTACACGCTGTTAATAATATTATCAGCCTCATTAAGGTGACTTAATTTGAAAGTAAAAGGAGAAAAACTCAGTGAAGGAAAAGCTGAACTTTAGTAAATTTTTTTTTTTTTGCCACAAGAGAGACTGTTTTCAAATGAATCTATCAAGTTAAAAGAAATGATTGCGAAAAACACTGGAAGGCTGATCTCTTTATTGGTTTTCACTTTTGATTACAGTTTTCTTTCCTCCTTTTTTTTTGCTGTAAGGAACTTCGTGTTCTCTCCCTGTATATTGGGAGTGGATTAAACTAATTGCTGTAATAAACAGCCCTCCAAACCTCAGGCACCTGACACACAGACGTTTTATTTCTCAGTCCCCTGGGGATTGGCAGGGACGCGGAGGGGGTGGTTCACATCCACTCAGCCATTCAGGGATGCAGGATCCCCGGACTCTGGAGTCCTTCTCGGGTCTCCCGTATCTGCTCAGAGGGAGGGAAAGAGGAAGCCCCTGGACCACATCTCTCCCCCCACCTTCCCTCATGTCCTCTGGAGGCTGCTCCTGACTGCACGCACCTGACCCATGCGCTTGACCTGCAGCTGACCACATGCTCCTGACTGCACGCACCTGACCCATGACCCATGTACCTGGCCGCAGAGGAGGCTGCGGAATGTAGCTGAGCTCTGAGACTGGGAAGGAAAAGGTCAGTGTGCGGAGAACAAGCAGCTGTTTTGCACGTGCACACACTCACACTCACACCCACACACACATGTACACATGAGGCCTCTCCTCCCCACCCACCAATTCTTGCTGGTGTAGGGCTCCCTGCCCGGGGTCGCCGTCCACCCCACGAGATGCCTGTCCTGGTGCAGCCTTCGCAGCCCTGGGGTCTCCTCTCCCAGGGTCACTGCTCGCTGCCGGGCGCACGGCGGCGGCGGCCTTCTCCTGCCACTGCTCTGTATTCCGTCCCACCTCTTAGGTGGATGGAGCTGGCCGTCCAGGGTTTTCTCAGGAGGAGGTCCTGGGGCAGTGCTTCCCCAGTGACCGGCCCGCTGGTCTCACCGCTGGTGGTCGTGATGCCCGTTGAGGCCCATCGCCCGTGGGGGATGCAGTGGGTGAGGGTCCCGAGCGCCTCTGGCTGCAGCCTCACCCGTGGAGCAGTGCACAAGCTTGTTGCATATGCGTTTCTGTGTCAGGAGTGTTATTTAACACATGCGGTGCACTCAGGATTAGTGCCGGGCTCACGGCCAGCAGCCTGTGACTCACACTGGAGGCAGCTCACCTGACACGTGACTTCTCCCCGAGGCTCGACCCTACCTTCTTGTCCGTGGACACCAGACCCCGCTTCAGCTCTGCCCGGGGGCCATTTTAAACCTCAGAATCACCAACGAAAAGCACCGAAATGCAAAACAGGGCTCCAAATAGACCCGGATAGACAGTTGTTTATAAGATCGCGGCGGACACAGAAGGGAGCTAGCTGGTCCTCTGCTCAGACCCAGCTTGGAACCTGCATGTCTGCTCTGTCTGCGAGTGGTCACAGCGGTGCTGCTCATATTGATTTGGGGTTACCAGTAAGTTTTAGCAAGGAGGCAAATTCCCAATACAGGATCCGCAAAGAATAAGAACTGTGTACGTGAACATGTCAGCTTATATGTGGTTTTCCTGTGTAACCTTTGAGCCATAGTTCCTGCCCCGTGTCGCCCCAGACCTACAGGGATGTTGTTTGATAGTCTGCTTGCCCTGAAGTTGTGCTAGACGAATCTTGTCCAGGACTTGATTTTTTTTTTCTTTACTGGATTCCTAAAGAATTGACTTCAGTTACTAACCCAGGTGGCTCAGATGGTAAAGCATCTGTCTGCAGTGTGGAGACCTGGGTTCGATCCCTGGGTGGGGAAGATCCTCTGGAGGAGGGCATGGCAACCACTCCAGTATTCTTGCCTGGAGAATCCCATGGACAGAGGAGCCTGGCGGGCTATAGTCCCTGGGGTCACAAAGAGTCGGACACGACTGAGTTGACTAAGCACCCAGGAAGTTTGGCGCTGGCCATGCTGTTTTTCCTGAAGAAGTCTGTTTCCTAGATTTTTCCTTTTCCCCTTCCTCTCTCTGGGAGCTGTTCTCTGTCTCAATGACACAGTTTCCCCTTTTTACTGAAATAGTTGATTTGCAATGTTGTGTTAGCTTCAGGCATATAGCAAAGTGATTCAGGTACACACATACATGTATCAATATGCGTAAATATCTATTCTCTTTCAGATTCTCTGCCCTTAAAGGTTATTACAGAATTGAGTATAGTTCCCTGTGCTATCCTGTAGGTCCTTGTTGGTTATTTTATATGCGTGTATATGTTGGTCCCAAACTCTTAATTTCTTTGGTAACCGTAAGTTTATTTTCTGTGTCTGTGAGTTTATTTCTGCTTTGTGTATGAATCTTTTTTTAGATTCCACATGTAAGTGATGTCGTGTGGTCTTCGTCTGACTCACTTCACTTAGGATGATCGTCTGTAGGTGCATCCACGTTGCTGCAGTGGCGTTATTTCATCCTTTTTATGGCTGAGTAATAATCCATTGTACGTGCCGCGTCTTCTTTATACATGTCTGTCGATGGGCATTTAGGTCGTTTCCAGGTCCTGGCTATTGTAAATGGTGCTGCAGTGTACACTGAGATGCATGTATCTTTTTGAATTACAGTTTTCTCCAGATGCATGCCCAGGAGCGGGATTGCGGGATCACATGGCAGTTCTGTTCTTGGTTTTTTCAGGCACCTCCATACTGTTCTCCATCGTGGGAATGCAGTCACTTTTAGTGTCGGCTTTTCCTCCTCTTGTTCTGTCATCTTTTCTCTCGTTCCTTTGATCACCTGTCATTTTCCCTGTTTGTTCTTTCTTTACGGTATTTTCAGATGCATCCATTCTGACTTCTGATTGATCACCGGTCACTTTGTTTTTGTAGCCCTGCGCTTGCTGTTTTTGGAAATTATTCTTTGGAGTTATTGTTTGTTTGGAGTAGGTTTCATGGCTTATTATTGTTCCCCTGGCATGAAGTACGGAGCTCTCTCTTCTTCTAGTCGGGTGTATTTTCCTCCAGAGCAGGTGAACCTGGTGTCTGGTTTTTACATGCTGTCCTGCTTCCTCTTCTGTTTCTTTTCCTGCAGCGTCTTCCTTATTTCTGCGCTGTTTCTCCTGACCTGTCTCTGTGGCTTGTCAGTGACTGGAAATTCTGTTTGTTCTGGTCTCGAGAGTGAGTCAGACTTGGGGGTCTGTCTGTTGGCCCTTTTACAGACAGGCCCGGGGACAGGGAGTGCTGAGTCTTTTTAGAAGATCCAGGCTCTCTTTTCTGTGGTTTCCTGGTGCAGGGAGCTGCCCACTTCTTGTGAAGGGGCACCCCTGACACTCCCACTCAGAAGCCCCGCCAGGAGGGGTCTCTGCTGGATAGTCAGCCCCAGGGGGCTCCTTTGTCCTCCAAACCCCGGCTCGGTCAGAGGAAGGAAGAGAGAACGACGTTGAGTTCACATC